CTGTCTGTGGATACATGCCTAGAAGTGCTCCTTCCCTGTTTTGTTTTTCTGAGGGAAAGGGGTCAGAAGAAGACAAATGTCCACTTTTCAGGGGCATTTTCCCAGCCACTCGCTTAATAGGCAGATAATAAAGTGTATGAGTTATGTTACTCAATAGAAGTCTCGCTGTGTTCCAACCAGTGCAATGGGAGAAGCAAGGAAAGTCAAACTGCTCCTTGCTACAGAAAGCGAAAGAGGAGAGATTAAGTGTGTCGTTCTCAAAGTGTGCAGTGCTTTGTCAAGAAGCAACGCTGATCTTGAGGAGTGTGGTCGGAGAAAGGGAGGAGGCCCATTCGACATCTGGCTCGGCATGGGGCTCTTTACCATTAGAGATCAATCTCCTATAAGATAGTCTTAAAGGTGCTACTGGGCTTTTTACTAACAAACTTTATCGTGGCATAAGCTTTTGAGAAATACAGGTCTCTTCCTCACAGGCATCTGATGAAGAGAGCTGTGTTTCTTGAAAGCTTGTGCTACAATAAAGTTTGTTAGTCTTAAAGGTGCGATTGGGCTTTTTACTATTTTGCAGTGACAGACGAACACGGCTAACTCCTCTAGATCTATCTCCTATAAGAGTGGGCTTCCGATAGAGGCATTTTCCCCAATTTGGGGCTTATCGTCTGTAGCTTTTCTTTGTGAGCGAGCATGTCTGCGTTTGCTTCGTTCTGATCTTCAGACAGCAGGATTTACCCAGTACTGGCTGAGGCCCAAAAAGCCGTTTATTTAATTAGCTAATAGCCTAATCGCACTTGTCTGGGAGTTACTCCTGAGCAGGGCTTCTTTTGTAGAAAAAGCCGAGCAGAAACTCATTAGCATATCAGGCCACACCTTGGCTTGCCCAGGCACCCCACGGCGTGCAGGGAGCCCAGACAAGCCCCCCCTTGAAGGAAAAGGAAGGCAGCTTAAACTGCCTTCCCTTGGCTTGCCTGGGCGCCCCGCGGCTGTGGGGAGCCCATACAAGCTGGCCCTTGGACAGGCCGGGGAAGGCACAGGGAGGCATTCAAATGCCTCCCCAATCCTTCCAGGGGGCCCCCTGGCCCGCCCGCCTCAGAGTCGCTGGGGGGGGGTGGCTCTCCCTGCCCTCTGTAGCCACCCCCACAGAGGTTTTGGGTGTAGTGGGCGTGGCCAACTCTGGAGCCAGCCAGAACTCCATTCCTGTGCGTTCCTGCCCAAAAATAGCCTCCTTCTGAGTAAACATGCATAGGACTGGGCAACTTTAGAGGCCCAAGAGGAGACTTCCAGGCAAACCCCAATGTTGCCCACCGCTGCCTCAAAGGCTGGCAGAGGGGAAAACGGGGGAAATAGGGAGGGCACCGTGACACTGTGCCATCATATGACATCACTTCCAGCAAAAACTGGAAGTGATGTCATGACACTGAGGATTATGCTCTAGGATATGCTAAGAAAACCCTCTATAGCCTGTTTCTGCAACCCAAATCCTCCTAGGGGTGGGCCTGGCTGGAGCCTGGTTGCGGCAATGAAATGAGATGGCAGCCATCAGTGACAGTGTGATGTCACTTCCAGGCCATGCCTTTCTAGGAATCACTGTGAACTCCATGGTAAAACCATAGTTTCTGGCGATTCTTAGAGAGGTGTGACATCACTTCTGCATTTCTCAGGAAATGATGTCATGCCATCATTGTGGCATTAAATTTTTTTTTCACCTGCTGGCTGATTGAGATCTCCTGCCCTCAGCAGATACATGGAGAGCCTATGGGGTGCCAGGTAGTGGCATGACATTCCTAGGTGGTTTGCTTAAAAGCTGTGTGGGCCCAACTGATTTCAAAACTGAGAAGAGTACCCCCAGTTTCTCTCCCCCTTTCCTCAGCTTGGCTCCTCTCTCTCCAAGTAAGTGCTTAAGCCCACAGCCAAAAGGACTTGCATTTGAGTACTGGGTCCGAAAGCAAGTAATCCTCGACCAAGAAAGGGCACCACCATAAAATGCCTGTCATAGGAGGTAGAGTGGAACCAATCGAGGCTTGCCATTTGCCCACTCACAGTGTGCAAACTCCTGTCCCTTGGCCTCCATTGCTTGAAGTCGATCAATGGAACAGCTGAAATGATGTCACAGTGTCCACAAAACTCCCATCTCCACAGGTTCCCCCCCCCAAGCTCCTAGGACTGGCAGGTACAGGCCTGGCAACATGGGGAGGGGCAATTACAAACGTTGGGAGGTTTCAGGCTATTTCCAAATTGAGGCCTTCCTGTGGATCTGAAGATGATGCCTCGGGGGGGGGGGGGGCAATCCCACTGCCACTGCAAACTACAATTCCCAGGGTTCACTGGAGAGAAAGAAGAACTGTCCAACTAGCCTAAGTCTGTAGTCATAAGAACATAACAGAACGTAAGAGAAGCCATGTCGGATCAGGCCAGTGGCCCATCCAGTCCAACACTCTGTGTCACACTGTGGCCAAAACCCAGGTGCCATCAGGAGGTCCACCAGCGGGGCCAGAACTCCAGTCTGGACCTGCCTGCTCTCGACTTGTTCCCAGAGCTTTCAAACAGCCAGGGATGGGGAAGTAACAGCAAGCAGGAGAGCTCTATATGAATGCCTTGAATAGTTAAAACTACGACAGGGGACAACCTGGCTGAAATTCCATGGAAGCTCGCCGGGCCAGTCACTTTCTCTAACCCTGAACTACTCCGTAGGGTTGTTGTGACAATAAAACGGAGGAGGACAGAGCCACGTTCGCTGCCTGACCTCCTCGGAAGAAGCGTGGGATAATAAGAAATAACGCAGAGCGTTTGAATCGGCACGCTGCTGGCAGCAGCCGGCACTGCTGCCTCAATACCGCCTGCAGCTGCACATTCAACAATGGTTTGATCCGCCGGAATTAGCAGGTGACAACATAACCCGTCTCTCACCATGCCTGATGCAGAGCTCGGCGGTAGCAATGAATGACATTCTGAGGGGTGTTTTTTGCCACCTCCGGCTCTATATTGTTGGCTCCGGGACCGACAACCTTTTCTCGTGCTCTGCAAAACCTGGATATAGAGAGAGCCCTGCCTTTGGAGGAAAACAAAAGGATTTCTCTCTTATGGAGAAAAAAGCTTTGCAGGATGACTTCTGCAGATCGAAGTATTGTTAAAGGTCGAGGAGCAGGCAAGGGCAGGGTTTTTTGGGATGGGTGGGTGGAGGCAGCCGTTATAGGGCTGCCAGCTCTGGTATGGGAAATACCTGGAGATTTTGGGGGTGGAGCCTGGGGAGGGTGGGAGGGGCCTCTGCTGGGTATAACGCTATAGAGTCCACCCTCCAAAGCAGCCATTTTATCCAGCGGGACTGATCTCTGCAGGGGTCATTTGGGGGGGGACGCGGGGGGACGCCATCCCCCCGGGTGAGGTGCGGGAGGGCGGGGCCTGGAGCTCCCTGCTGGTGCCTGCTGGAGGTCGCCGCCGGCTGTGGGGAGGACATACTTCCGGTGATGTCAGGGGGTGTGGCATATGCTAATGAGTTATGCTAATGAGTCCCCCTAGCTCTTTTTCTACGAAATGACCCCTGGATCTCTGTCACCTGGAGACAGGTTTGCCAGCTCTGGTCTGGGAAATACCTGGAGATTTTGGGGGTGGAGCCTGGGGAGGGTGGGGTTTGGGAAAGGAAGGGACCTCAGCTGGGTATAATGCCATAGAGTCCACCCTCCAAAGCAGCCATTTTCTCCGGGGTGTGTGTGACCCCTGTCGTCTGAAGATCAATTGTAATAGAGAGACATCTCCAGGAGCCACCTGGAGCTTGGCAACCCCAGTTCTCATGGTCAAATCAGTGGACTCCCAGGTTTGATTTTAAGGACATGGATCAATGGGGCCCCAAGGAATAAGAGGCTGAAGGGCCCTCCTTATAAGGGAAAGTGATGGAGTTTGGGGTTCTTTTCTGTCCAGAAAGAGAATTAAAGATGGGTTCTGCACGATGTGGAGAAAGTGGTCACAGGGAACGCTTCCCTTGCCCACCTCCTGTGATAGTAAAATTCAGGGGCCCTTGATGAAGTCAGTGGCTGTAGACCTGGGGGAAAGAATGTAGCTGCTGACGTTTTATCTTCTAAAACCGAAAGACCACGTTTGCCACAGGATGTAATGAAGACCAATAGCTTAGATATCCTTAAAAGAAGAGTCATGGATAGATCTGTCAGGAGAAAATAGGTCTATCCATGACTATGAGCCTGGGTGGCTAAATGAAATCATGTTCAGAGGCAGCATAGCTCCAGATACTAGTTGTTGGAAGACATCAATGGGTGCGGGCTCTATCATAGAATCATGGAAGGGGCCATACAGACCATCTAGTCCAACTCCCTGCCCAATGCTGGACCAGCCTAATGCATCTGTGTTTTGTTCATAGACTTTCATGTTAACTGCTGTGGGAGACGGGTTAGACCACCAGTCTCTTCACACAGTCACACATAAAACCGCATTATACTGGATTAGACCTTTGGTCCATCAAGGCCAGTACTGTCTACTCAGACTGGCAGCCGCTCTCCAGGCAGAGGTCTCAGGCAGAGGTCTTTCACATCACCTGCTGCCTGGTCCTTTTTTAACCGGAGATGCCGGGGATTGAACCTGAGACCTTCTGCATGCCAAGCAGAGGTTCTTCCACTGAGCCACAGCTCCTAAAGCAGTGCCATTCAGAAGTCTTGATATGTCTGTGGATGGGTGTGTGTGTGTGTGTCTTGTGCTCAGAAATCCACACCTTACGTTACACAGAGGGAGGAGTGATTCTCACCAAACGTCACACTGAGAACCAGAGTTAGGCCAGAGGTCTGACAAAGTAGTATATATATTTTTTTCAGCCCACGGTTTACTGTTGCAAGAAGAAGCAATCAGAAGAACAGCACTCGGGTCAGGTCAAAGTTTTCCCATCGCTATGATGTGTTCCACGGGTGTGATGGCAACCCTCCGCACTGTACAAAGGGAGAGGCCAGGCTATTGTGGAGGCAAAGAGAAGGCGCACAATAGAGCCGGGAGGAGAGACTTACCAATGTGTTTTGCTGAGAGGCGGGAGTTCTGTGGCCGCAAGTCTCTTGCGTCAGCAGGGAGACGGGCTGAAATTCCTCGGAATGGGACTTGTTGGGGAAACTCACATGCAAGGGAAGGTGAAAGGCCTGAAGCCCGTCACTCTCCTCTTCTTCCACTTTCTGTCTGCCCGTCACCATGGCTACCTCTCCATCTGCTTCCCCATACGGAGAGGCTGGTCGCTTGGAAGACATCCTGGAAGGAACAAAAGAGGAGGGGAAAATAATGAAACCTCCACATAAATCCTTAATGCCGTCATTGTGTGGTTAGGGGCCATTGTAACAGAAATGCCTTTTTTGTGTGTGCCGGCGGAGAGCAGGAAGCCATCCAAATACCACTGCAAAGCGTACACAATCGGGAACAATGGCCAAGCAGGTAGTAGCAGAACAGTGCCTGTTTGTTGTAAGAATAATACGCTAATATAGCTCTCTCTTGTGTCCCGGCTTCTTAAACACATTCACGATGGAGAGAGGGAGGAGGAGAAAAAAAAGAGGGGGGGGAAATTACCTAAGAGCAGGACATAATGAAATGCAATTCCATTTTATTTTAGAGAGGGGGAGAGAGAGAGGGAGAGAAATAGTGCGTTCTCTTGAATACTTTGCAAAAAGCTCGGAAGGTAAGGAACATCCACCCAGCGTACACCATGGTCGTCTTGCCCCCTTCCTTTCCATTTCGAAAACAGCCCATTTCCAGCAATCGGCGTGAAAGGAAACACACACACTCACACACGCTGTCAAGGCTTAAAACTTTTGTGCGACTAGAAGGTAGCCGCAACACTGTCCACGGTCCTGTGGGCAAACAGACCCTCTGCGTAAAACTTTCTGAACTCAACGGAAAGGAAAAGCCAGTTTGGTGTAGTGGTTAAGTGTGCAGACTCTAATCTGGGCGAACCGGGTTTGATTCCCCACTCCTCCACTTGCACCTGCTGGATGACCTTGGATAAGCCGTAGAGCTGTCCTTGAAAAAGAGCAGTTTCTGTCAGAGCTCTCTCGGCCCCACCTACCTCACAGGGTGTCTGTTGTGGGGAGGGGGAGGGAGAGGAGTTTGTAAGCCACTCTGAGACTCCTTTGGGTAGTGAAGAGCGAGGTATAAATCCAATCTCTTCTTCTTCTTCGTATGCACACGTTTGGCGATGCTGGACAATAACCTTGAGTGGCATTTTGCTAAGCGATCAGCCACAACAGAGAAACTGGACCCAGGGGATGGCTCAAATCGATACCATCAAGCAAAACTTGCCCTTTTAGACTTCTTGGCCGCTTGTACCAGGAGTAGATTTGCCAACCTCTAGGTGGGGCCTGGTGATCTCCCGGAATCACAACTGATCTCCAGACAAAGGAGATCAGTTCCCCCTGGAGAGAATGGTTGCTTTGGAAGGTGGACTCTATGGCATTATACCCCACTGAGTTCCCATACCCAGTAGGGTTGCCATGTCCCCCCCGGGCCCCCAGCAGGGGATGGGGAGGTAGGGTTGCCAGATCCAGGTGTGGAGACTCCTGGAGATTCGGGGATGGAGCCTGCGGAAGACAGGGTTAGACTTCTTGGCCGCTTGTACCAGGAGTAGATTTGCCAACCTCCAGGTGGGGCCTGGTGATCTCCCGGAATCACAAGTGATCTCCAGACAAAAGAAAGTACAGTGTGGGGTACAGTGGGGAGCTACAGGACCTCAGTGGGGCACGGTCCACCCTCCAAAGCATCCATTTTCTCCAGGGAAACTGGTCTCTGTAGTCTGGAGCTGGCAACCCTAACCGATAGTCTGGCAACTGCACATATTGGGAGTGCGCCCCGCATGCAATGCTCCTAATAGGTACAGTCACCACATTGTCCGAACAGGGGCGATGTGCATATTTTGCATATTTTGCTTGTGCATTTATAAATCCATTTAGTTATTAAAACACTCATATTCTGCCTCTCCTCGTGGTTCAAGGCAGCATACAGCTTCAGTACAGTTCAGAAAAAATCAGGTTTTTGTGTAGCTGAAAGTACCCATAACCGGTGTTTCCTCTAAGCTGAGTTAGTGTGAGCTAGCTCACAGGTTTTTTAGCCTCTGGCTCCTGCATTTTTGTCTTCGCTCAGGAAGGAGGGCTCCAGAGCAAACTAATCCATGCAGTAGCCAAATTGCTCACTCACAATTTTAGTGCCAGTAGCTCACAAAGTAGAATTTTTGCTCACAAGACTCCACAGCTTACTGTCAGACATCATGGAGACGGCACATATCAGGAGGATCTACACCTAGCTGCCAGGCTCTCAGTATGCACAAACTTTACTTCTTTATGACAAACATTTGTATGCCATCTTTCCATGAACCTGACGAAGGCAGTTTCGAAAATAAATAAAAGAAGAACAAAAGATTTAAAGGACATTGATTTAAAATCCAGCATTAAAAAAGCCCAGCATAAAAAACATATATCATAAAAAGCAGACCACAGAAAGCTTGGAAAAAATAACGGTTTCCGGACTAATGCGGTGTTAAAAATCAAGCCTGGTGAACAGACTTAATTAAAAGCCTGGTGAACAGAACAATTTTTTTGCCTGGTGCCTAAAAGAAAGCAACACAGCTGGAGCTACTCTCTCTTGCAGAACTGCTTGGGGGAAATTCCATCGAAATTCCATTTGAAACTTTTAAGTTCCGCACAAAAAAGGATCAAAGGCTAAAACATCACAAGCGTAAAGAGTTTGTGAGGATACAGAATGATCACTTATATAAAGAACAATAGGTCAGATGGCATGTTGAGAATCAAAGAGCCGCAGAGGTGCCATAGGTTACAGAGTGATTTGTTGTGACAGCATAGGAGACCCATTTATGCTTGGCAATGACAGCTATTTATCAACAGTATCATCACCACCAATAAAATTCAAAAGATAATATTCAAAGTTGAGCTTTGCTGTTCCTTTGGATACATACATCAAGTGCTAGGTTGCTAGGTACAGCCTCAGTTGCCTCAATAATTAAATGGCCATTCCCATTATCAAACACCCAAGTGACACCTTCCAAGCAAGGAATGCTTACAGGTCCTTATTATAAATGTTTTAACCACATGCATTCATTTAAAACGTTTGTATTTTTCTTTCCCCCTTAAGGGCTTGCAGCAGTTCACAACAGAATACAGTGTAACAGAAAGACAGTTAACCCCTGTATAAAATACTCCAGATCCAAACCCCACTGTACACACACACACCCCCACTGAAACAATTCTCCTGCTATCTACCCAACATTGGCGGGAAACTCTAGCAAAACAGCATGGCTTTACACTTCTTTCGGAAAGCCAGTGCTGAATCAGCCTTTGTTTCTTCCTTGGGGAAGGCTTTCCACAACAGTGGGGCTACCACCAGGAAGGCACCGTCTCAGGCAGAAGGGTATCACGCCCTCCCGGAGGGAAGGGCACAGCAAATAACAACAGGCTAGAAAGATATTGGGAATTTTTCAAAAGCAAGAATAGTCCAGCAGTGGAATCGCCTAGCTGAGGGAGCTGGTGAGTTCCCCCTCACTGGCAGTCTTCAAGCAGCAGCTGGACAAACACTTGTCAGGGATGCTTTGGGCTGATCCCGCATCGAGCAGGAGGTTGGACTAGATGGCCTGTATGGCCCTTTCCAACTCTATGATTCTATGGTATAACTGGTCTACTGGTCCATATAGGGAGAGATGGTCCTTCAGATATGTGGGCTCCTGCTCTTGGAGGGCCTCAGAGCTGGCACCTTGAGCTGAATATGGAAATGAACAACCAGCATCTTCAATACAGGTGTAATATGGTTCTCACCAGCCACAAAACACAGCTACCCGCCTGTGCATTTATTTATTTAAAATATTCATTAGCGGCCTTTCTTTCATACAAAGCTTTGGCGGCTTGCAAAATAAATAAAATATATTAAATACATTTTAAAAATGGGTCGCGGGGCCTGGCGTGTGGATGTGGTCTAAAGGTCAAAATGAGATGACCCCAGTTGGGTCAGACCAACGGGCCACCCAGCTCAGCATTTCATTTTGCACAGCAAACAGCCCTGGAGGGGCAAACAAACAGGGCGTAGAGGGTGAGGCTTCCCCCCCTAGTGTTTTCGGTGGTACTGATACTCAGAGTCAGGTTGCCAGCCTCCAGGAGAGGCCTGGAGATCTCCCACTATTACAGCTGATCCCTGATACAACAGAGATCAGTTCCCCTGGAGAAAATGGCTGCTTTGGAGGGTGGACTCTGTGGCATTGTACCCTGCTGAAGCCCCTCCCCTCCGCAAACCCCACCCTCCCCAGGCTCCACCCCGAAATCTCGAGGTACTTCCCAACACAGAGCTGACAATCCTTACTCAGAGGTGCACTGCCTCTGAATAGGGAGGTCTCCTTTAGTCACCATAAGTAGGAGCTGTTGATGGACCTCTCCTCCGTGACCCTGTCTACACTTTGGGCCCAAGAAACCGTCACAGAAATGAACACGGGGCAGCGGTTCGATTTGCCTCAGTGGGGCTCGCACAGCAGGCTTTCGCGGTGGGTGGCATCCTTCGTAAATCTTTGCGCCTCGGAACAGAATTCCACCCAAGAGGCCCCCTGATGCTTTCGACTCAGTCCCTTCACTCTGGGATGGTTTGATCTGCAACTCCTCCTCTTAAGGCGTACAGCAGCCCGTGTTCGGGAGGGGGGCTGTTGTCATTCCCTGCACAAGTCCCACTTCAATCCCCACTCGAGTGCTTATACCATAAAATGATGATACTCTAATCTTGTTACAGCCAATTTTTTAAAAAAACCAACAAAAAACTTCAGAAATGTTTCAAGAAATCCACAAAGACACTCGCAAGGGTGGGGGGGAGATGTGGGCTTATCCGTGTCTCTAAAAGTGACAAACACGGTCTGTCGGGGGGGGGGGGGGGGCGGGGAGACTGTGGGCTCTACATCGTAAGTTGTTGGGGAATTAATTAAGGGATTCATCAATCATTACCCAGTTAACACCCCTTCTATATGTATATACAGCTGAAATCCCATCAACTTTACAGCAGTCCGCCGGTTCGCAACTCAGGAAGTCCTTCTCTTCTGACTATTTATAAATGACTTCGTATAATCTAGCATTGAGACCTGTAATTATAAAATGGCATTAAAACACACACACACACACAGAGGCCTGCATAGTTATGGATAATTATAGCTGGTACACTTAAGAAGGGGGGGAAGGGGGGGAAAAACCTAGTAGAAATACAAAACATTTTCCTTCAGACGC